TGTGAATATGAATGGGAATATACTTCACCGATATTTTACTCATAAAAATAAATAATTGTCCAACGTGTATTTGAGAAAAACATTTATTTCACAATGATATTTCCCCCCCCATTTTAAATTCTTATTCTCCAATGAAAGGTTAGATTTATGTGAATTTTTTAAATAAAAGATCAAAAGGATTAATGTATTTCATTTGGAAATTAGGGTCCTAGAGTCTGGAGGAAGGGTGGAGAAGCTCATAGCCCAAGTTGCTTGAAGTCCAGTGTTACGTTTCCACAGTCTGTGATGATTTGGGGTGCAATGTCATCTGCTGGTGTTGGTCCATTGTGTTTTTTGAAAACCAACGTCACTGCACCCGTTTACCAAGACATTTTGGAGCACTTCATGCTTCCTTCTGCTGACCAGCTTTTTGAAGATGCTGATTTCATTTTCCAGCAGGATTTGGCACCTGCCCACACTGCCAAAAGCACCAAAAGTTGGTTAAATGACCATGGTGTTGGTGTGCTTGACTGGCCAGCAAACTCACCAGACCTGAACCCCATAGAGAATCTATGGGGTATTGTCAAGAGGAAAATGAGAAACAAGAGACCAAAAAATGCAGATGAGCTTAAGGCCACTGTCAAAGAAACCTGGGCTTCCATACCACCTCAGCAGTGCCACAAACTGATCACCTCCATGCCACGCCAAATTGAGGCAGTAATTAAAGTAAAAGGAGCCCCTACCCAGTATTGAGTACATGTACAGTAAATTAACATACTTTCCAGAAGGCCAACAATTCACTAAAAATGTTTTTCTTTTATTGGTCTTAATAAGTATTCTAATTTGTTGAGATAGTGAATTGGTGGGTTTTTGTTAAATGTGAGTCAAAATCATCACAATTAAAAGAGCCAAAAACTTAAACTACTTCAGTCGTGCATTGCATTTATTTAATACACGAGTTTCACAATTTGAGTTGAATTACTGAAATAAATGACCTTTTCCACGACATTCTAATTTATTGATATGCACCTGCATGTATGTATGTATGTATGTATGTATATATATATATATATATATATATATAGTACTATATTTACAATGCAAAATATTTAAGCATGAACACTTCAATAAAGCATAACTATGTGCAACGTAACAGTGCAAGAGCATCAAATAAAAACAAACAAGAATAAAACATATTTTGAATAAGGACACATATGCATTAATTAGCTTGAGATTATTTCTGCAAAATTTTGGAGGTGTAACAACAATCAAGCCATTTTACAGTGTAACATCCTGTATTACTGTAAATCAGTCGAACTGGCTCTTAGTACAAAAGAATATAATATCATTAGTGCAATATCAGCATCAGCGCAAACAGCAAACTGTTACATCAACTTCATCATGAATCAAAGCACGCTTCTCTATTTATGTCAAAGCAAATGAAAGTCTTCACTCAGTTTTTACATTACAAAAACACAAATGGGTCGACTTCATACACATTTCGTGTATATTGTTACTGTATAGTGACTATAAACTACTGCTGTTCTCTGTTTCAAGGATCGTTGGTCAATTTAGTCTCTTCATTCGCAGGATCATCTGTGTCCTGTTTCTTAAGTTTTTTTCCATTCTCTTCTAAATTGAGTAGAGAAAGAAAGAAAAAAAAACACGTCAGTCCAAATGAGAAAAACAAACAGTCTGAACTCATCACATAACACTGATGCAGCATTATGATAGTAGTGTTTAATAAATGAATTAATGATGCCACAGTAACAAACATTAAATGCTGAGGCTCATGGACACGGAGTAAGAGCTCCTGCGGTGTTATTTGTTTGAAGAATGAAGCTTTTGGTTAACTGCTAAATTTACCCTCTTATTTGACCAATACATTAACAATAACTGTGTTGTACAAAAAACTAGAGTGACACTGAAAATAATGGGTCAATTATTAATAGTTTAAAACAGTGAAGAAAAATATAAATTATTAAATATATGACTAAACATTTAAATATAATCATTTGATGAAATATCTGTTGTTAAAATTAGTAAATGTCTTTTTTTTTAAACGGCAGTATCTTATTACTTTCCACAGCACCGTAAACATCTGTTCTCAAATAGGTTCATATCTGAATAAAGGCCAATGTGTCTCAGACAGACAGAGTAGTAGTTTTATGGCTTCTCTTGGTCAGAAAAATCAGAAAGTCAGTCAAAAAACCATTAAAGGCCAGCCAATCTTATTAATTATGTTAATTTTGTTATGATGACTGAATGAACAACAGGAATGAATGCATATCAAACACATCTTACAGTGTTTATTCATCCTGATTAGTGTATTCAACGATTTCCTGAAAGCAAACAGATTTAAATTTATTGTAAATCTTTTTTTGGTCACACACAGGTGCCCACTTAACCCACTTAGACATGAAGAGCCATCTAACTATGTAAAGCAGTTTTATTTAGTTTTTGTGTGCCAGAAATGTGTCTAGACTCTGTCCAACAGTAATAAATATAGACTTTATCACAGACATAAAACATAATATATAGTTTTGCTTGTCAATCTAGTTGTTACTATGTGTCTCAAACAAAACTCAGATTTGATGTCACTACCTTTGAAAACTTTGATGTCATACACAATAGTGCTCATTTTATTAACCTGGCACATTGTAAACAGACAGACTGATAAAACCACCTGTGCAGAAAATGCTCTTGAGATCAAACACTATCATAATATCATAATAAGTAAGTTTGAATTTTCTATAGACACACAGAGATGCAGCTCAGAGTAGACCTGTATCTGCTCTTCATCTGCTATTGTCTTAATGGTAATCAGACTTTTAGGATTTTACAATATTATATGGACTGTATGTGATACTTACCCAAACGTCTTTCTAGTTCAGAGATCTTGTTGTGATAGTGTTTCACTACAAGAACTACAGCTAGAACCCCCAGAGCACCAATAACACAATTAATCCATACACAAGTTGTAGACGGAGTACCTGAATAACAAAGAGCTAAAGAGAGACAGTTATTAGTGTGAATGTGTCTGATCTATAACAAACACTAGAAACACTATATAAACTGATACTGTAATGATAAAGAGAGACAGTGTATTTTCAGTGAGAGGGCAAAATGACAATACATTTCGGCTAATCACAATACTATTAAATAATATCTATCTATCTATATCTATCTAGACCCTAGATTTTTTGTGACAGTGCAACCAAGCCAATTCTACCCCATCAGAGGAGACCTGATTCAAACCTGAAACAAACAAGGTGCAGAGACAAAATCCACAGAAATGACTTAATTTTTAATTGCACAATTATCTGTTCATTTAAATTTTAAAATAAGAGCAAGCACAGACATTCTAAACCACAGCCTCTGGTTTGTGATACATTAAAATGAAGATATATAAAACTGGAAGTTTCAAATGAAGTTCCACACACGCAGAGGTTAAAACAACACTGTATTTGTTGCACACATGCGTACTGAAAGAGCCGTACCGGAAATTTTTGGTATGAATATGTGTACCATTACACCCCTACAAGGGACATCTGGCATGATGGCATGATGTATCCCAATCATCAAGGAGAAGGAACTGGATGAATATTCTCAATAATACCAGTCCACAGTCTGACTTGTGATGCAGCCTGGAATTAAACCACATCATATTGGTTTGGTATAGCCAGAGGAGAACTGGCCCCCCGACTGAGCTTGGTTTCTCCCAAGGATTTTTTTCTCCATTTCTGTCACCAGTGGTGTTTGGATTTCTTGCCTCTGTCGCCTTTGGCTTGCTTAGTTGGGGACACTTAATATTTGGCAATATTATCAACTTGTTTGCACAGACACTATTGGATGAGAGCCGAACTAAACTGAGCTCATGATGACATCACCATTTTCCCCAGAGCTGCTTTATATTTACTATCCTCTTTTCTGCACATTTGCAGAAAACAGCTTTCTTCCACATTGACAAAGGTTCAGCCATCAACCATTGAACTGGACTAGACAACAGTATGAACACAATGAGTTCTAAGACCCCATTACTACTTAAACGGACCAAAAAAAAGCATCCAAGTCCTCTTTTAGGGACAGGAACCGAGGGTCTGAGTTTGGTAAAAGTTACACAGTGCTTTGTGTCCAGGAGAAACTAAGCTTTTTTAAAAAAAAAACTTTGAAGCATCTGAACCAATTGCTTCACAAAATTCATTTTTTAATATTCAGTGAAGAAAAGTAAGTTTAGGATTAGCTGTAAAAGTGCATTGCTGCATCTCAATTTACATACTATCCATCCTAAATAGTATTTGAAATTAGAAATCGTAGTATGTTGAAATTAGTATTCCAGAGGAACCCGGATGTCTATTATTTCTGGTGAAAATTTGAAGTGAACATCTGTGCACATTTGAACAGATAATATTTCCCACTGATGCACGTTGGATGAGGATTCAATTAGAACTACAAACAAGAAAAAAAAGTATTTATAAAACTAAAAACATGGTGGATATGCAAGACCGACAGTTCAGTGGAGAGGTTTTGATAAAGGGGTTTTCATGATTGATAACCAATATCTAACCTGATGAAAACATTTTACCATATTATATTTAATCTGAAAAAACACTGTGAACTTGTCTAAAGATATGTTTGGTCATTAACTTTTAAATGTATCATTATGCCAACATGATGAGCATATTCTCAGCATGAAAGACCCATGACTGGCAGATCAACATGCTACTTATTTTTTCTTCAAAACGGTAGGAAATTAAATGAAACTAAATGTTGTGGATTGTTAACTGTGACAAGATGATTGACAGGGCAGTTTAAATGATGACAAGATGCACATAACTTTGTGACAGTGTGGTCTGTTAAAGACCTAGTTATGATGAATATGTCTCAAACCTAGTTTTCAGCCACACATTCAAACATGTACTTTTTCTTCACAAAAAGAGTACATAATTTTAGGGCACAGTATAAGTGCGTGAATTGGGATGCAGCGCACAATATTCTAGGGTAGTCTATCCAAAGCATGATCACTCTTTCTTCACCTATCAGTAACATTATAACATTATCAATAATATTAACATGTCCAACCCCCCACCTGGCCCTGATTATTATATTGACTGATCTGAGTTACTCACCACTGACACTGGCAGTGACAGTGACAATGATTCTCCTGAGTATGGTGTGTCTGCTGCTGCTGATCTTCAGTTCATAAAGACCAGAGTCTGTGGTTCTTCTGGTGTTTGTGATGTTCAGAGATCCAGTCTGATGATCCAGATTCAGTCTGTCTCTGAATCTCTCGGTACCTTCAGATGTAGGGAACCGTTGGGCTGTTTGACTGATCTCAGCAATGACAGTGTCTCCCACCATCCACAGCATGAAATCATCTCTCCGTAGTTCGGTATCAGTGTTTAGAGTGACAGAGTGTCCCTCCATCACTGACACTGATATCCATTCACCTGTACCAACAACAAATACAGGAAAAACACTGAGGAACAGCTACACAGATATTAATTAAATGCATACAGACAGATTTTTAACACTGTAAATAATTTCAGTTATCAAGTCTCAATGAGTCATGTCTAATAAAGCTAATTTAACTCTCAGTTGAAGTTTAATTTCTACAGCAACATTTTACTGGTCAAAAAGGCACATTTGAGGTCTAAAAGGACATCTTCAAAAGAATGGCAAAAATCATGAGATCAAATAGTGCAAGTGAACATGTGAGTTGAAAAATTAACAGAGAAACAAAGCATCTATACAACACTTTTTAAACACTTCCTATATCAGCATAACAAGAATAGGAGAAAATAAAAAAGTAATAGATGGATAAAATGGTCATTTAAGTGGACATGAATCAAATATATGTACAAAATGAGCAATACAAAAAACTGTACGTTATTTCCCAAGCACAAATACTGTATGTGCCTACTGCCTTTATACTGACTTGTAAATGACACACTTCTGACTGTGCATACACCCGTATTTATTGGTGTTGGGAAACTGAATGATGAACTGAACCAAATGATTCAAAACTTCACTCTTCAGTTAATGGGCCAAATACGGTATGAAATTACATATAGAATGAATCACTCAAATCAGAACATTACTTCAGCATAATGATCAATCGTTTGAGAAAAACAGTTACTATTTTTTTTACTGATTTAGTGCAAACATGCTCATCTAATCTATTCTTTTCTAAAATTCATTATTACACTGATGTACTCACCACTGACAGTCACACTGAATGTCTTGTGTATGGTGTGTTTACTGCTTCTGATGTCAACTTCATAAAGTCCAGAGTGTTTGGTTCCAATGTTGTTGACGGTCAAAGATCCAGACAAACAGTCCAGCTGTAGTTTGTGTTTGAATCTCCCATCAGCACCATCAGATGTGTTGAAGATTCCAGCCTCTCTATTGATTTCAGCTATAGGAGAGTTCTGAAACCTCCACTGTATCATATCATATCTCTGTATTTTAGTAACAGTGTGTAGAGTAACAGAATCTCGCTCAATCACTGATATTGACTCCACTGCATCAGCTGGCTTAACTGGAGAATAAACAGAAGTAGTAAGATTGGCACTGCAGCTATTCAGATCTTCACTGTCACAAAACCACTTTTCAACTCTTAAGGATTTTCTGGATAGTGTGACAACAAATAGAGAGAATGTGCATAGAAAATAAAGTGAGTTACATGTGACATGAAATCTGAGTTCAGTGTTCATTTACATTTATTCATTTAGCAGATGTTTTTTTTTAAATCTCAAATGACTTGTAAATACTTTTCATGCAATTATGAATTTAAGCAACTACATGAGAAGTGCTACAAATACAGTCTCAAACATTGTCAGCTTGGCTATTTAGTCTCTGATACTCTGGATGAACCAAAGAAAAGCTTTAAAAATACATTTGGGTAGTCAGAAGAAAGATGTGGAAAGCATATATCACTATCTGCAAGCAACAGCCTGTGTCTACCTTATTATTGTATTATATGGATATTGCAGGAGAACAAACTTAAGAATCTCTTTAAGATACACTGCTGCTTCTAAATCTTGCCATAACACTACAGAAAAAGCTAAAGTAAAGTACATTGTATTAGGCATCTGAGGTGAAGATGATAAAATCAGCTGAATGTTTATGTTAAGCAAAGTTTTTAGCAGGGGGTTTCAGTCGGTTCCTGTTCTCTACACTGTCAGTCAAACAAGCCTGGTAAGAGGGGCAATCACCTTTTGTCTGTGATGGTCATGGTGCACCTTCTCTATTCTTTAAATTGCTGGTCATTGTTCATGCACATCAACACTTCAAGTGTGAATGCAACGACCTAAGGCCTATGACACACCACTGGCCAACATCGGGCTGTCTTGAGAATCTGTCAGCTCAGTTTTTGCAGTATGTTCTGCACTATAAACACAAGTCAGACCCCGCCTGTGTTTTATTTGGCCAACTGAACTTGTACTATTGGAATCAGGCAGTGGGTGAGAAAAATAACTCTGATTGGCTGTTGCGAACCAGTCAGTCAGTCAAGTCTTCTTCACTGCAATTGGTTATACTGATCTGGTAATTCATTTGTATTGATCTAGGCCAGGGGTTCTCAAACCTCTCCATGAAGCACCCCCAGCACAGCATGTTTTGTATGTCTCCCTATATCTGACACACCCACTTCAGGTCTTGCAGTCTCCACTAATGAGCTGATGAGTTGAATCAGGTGTGATAGATGAGGGATACATACAAAATGTGCAGGGCAAGGGGTACTCCAGTCCAGGACAGGTTTGAGAACCACTGATCTAGGCCAAGGATGGGCAACTTTGGTCCTGGAGGGCCACTGTCCTGCAGAGTTTAGCTTAAATAAAACAACTGACTTCAAGCACAACTATGCAATATGCTTACAAAATCTTTTACAATGAAAAAAAAAAAAAGTCTGAATAAAGGGTGAGGATGTCAATTTTCCTAGACCAGTCATCACTTTTGGCCACTACTCTACATCCTAGAAATGCATAATTGTCAAGATCCTGCCACTTTGGTCTGTCCTGTTTACGGGTCCATAACTGAATCCTCATGGATCAGCACAACAGCACAAAACATGGGTGTGAAGCAAATGTCTTTTGTTTTGTGAGGTCATGCAAATTTCATTTTTGGAAAAACCTCCTGCCTCTCATCTTACATTTGTATTATAGTGTTCAGTGTTTCCCCTGCCATTATATTAGGGGGGCATATTAATATGGTTGAATTGGATCATCGAAGGTCAGCGGCAAAAGACATTGGTTAATAAAATGGGATTAAATACATAAATTATATTTGTGTTACTTAACATTTAATTATTCCAGAATTAGGTTTGTATAATATTATGAGTTTGCATTTGACTGTTTTTATTTATTTTGAGAAATACTGAATCTGTTTTTGTGCAGGTGAGTTGAGTAAATGCATGTTCACATTTAGTCTAGAACTACAGTAACATCATGTTCACACAGTGCACACAACGCCTCTGCACTTAATCCCGATTTCTCTCAACATGGCAACACCAGAGTTGTCAGTCAATACATGGGAAACAAAGTAACTAGCATTACATATTTGAAAAAGTAACTCAGATATTTTATTGTAAATTAAAAGGTAATGCGTTACTTTACAAGTTAAAGTAATCTGATTACGTAACTCGCCTTGCTTGTAATATGTTACCCCCAACACTGAAAACAATTTATGACATTTAGGTCATTTCTTATGACTGGAAATCTGTTCTACAGATTTCTTGGTTTATCAAGACACATGAGCACCTTGTATATCTTGGATGTCTGAAAATTACATTCAATAAGTTATTTAGCACTCTGTGAGCATTTACAGAAATGAGCTAATTATAACATTGAAATCCATTAGACACTTACCAGTTAAACTGAATGTTATAGAGGTCTTGGTGGTGCTGGTGATAGTTACTTTATAACTTCCAGTGTCTGTGGTGCTGATGTCGCTGATAGTGAGATCTCCAGTCTGATTATCCAGCTTCAGTCTGCCTTTAAATTTCCTACCAAGTTCATTGTCCATTGTTTCAATCAAATTGGCTGGTCTATTGATATGAGCTACGCGAACATCTCCAAATCTCCAGTCTATCACTTTAATATTCTGTATTTCAGTGAGACCAGTGAGTAGAGTGACAAAATCTCCCTCTATCACTGATACTAACGTTGTTTCACCAAACACACCTGAAATAAAAAAAGAGAAACAGTTACACAAAAAAGAATAAAATCATAAAACACTGTCAGTATACAGATTCAGATAATTTACTCTTATTTAATACATCTTATGTGAACTAAATTTCAGTGCAAATTAAATAATAATATTTTGACTCCCAGAAAGTTTTTCAGACTTGCTTTGAAGGACACCTTTTAAAGGGTTAGTTCACCCAAAAATGAAAATTAACCCATAATTTACTCACCCTCAAGACATCCTAGGTGTATATGACTTTCTTTGTTCAGACGAATACGGTTAAATTAAAATATTGTATCTGAGCTATATTTAAAAATGTCCTGGCTCTTCCTGTATTATAATTAATGGCCAATTATATTTGCCATTTTTCAAATATCGGCATTGGCCGATACGTTTTTCCTGTTCGGCCGATGCGTTCAACGCAGGACTTTTATTTTGATGGCCCGAGAGAGGCGTACCAGCGGATGACGTAGAGAGCAGAACAAAACACCGGTCACAAATTAGAAGTATAAAACAATGTTAGAGATTATGGTTAATAAAGTTTTAAGTATGGATATTTTCCTACAAAAACGCATCGATTCACTTCAGGAGGACTCTTTATCTCCACCTACGGCAAGCCTCCAGGAGCTCAACTGTTTTCAGAGAAAAGCAGTCCAGCTGTATCTGTCTTTTATAAATCTGATGAAACTAAAGACTCTTCAAAGATATGAAGGATGCAATACTACTCTAGGTACTCTAGTAAGTACTCAAGATTAACATAACATTGGCAGAAACTGTGTGTTATGTCTACTTTAAAACCTATTCACAAAACACTTAGGAGCAAGTTTCACTAAGAAACCCTTAATATAAGACCGTGTTGATAGGCTAGATGTCTCATTTACAGTTTACAGAACATGAGTTCCATTAATGTCCCTGGTAACTGGTCTTTTAGGCTGCTTAAAATCATGGACATTTTATAAGACATAGGTCCTGCCTTCCATCTAATTTAAGCTCATCTTTTAAGCTCCTTCATAAATCAATCAAATGTGACCCTGGACCACAAAACCAGTCTTAAGTAGCACAGATATATTTATAGCAATAGCCAAAAATACATTGTATGGGTCAACATTTTTTTGATTAGTAATATGCATAGCTAAGAACTTCACAACTTTAAAGGTGATTTTCTCAATATTTAGATTTTTTTGCACCCTCTGATTCCAGAATTTCAAATAGTTGTATCTCAGCCAAATATGGTCCTATCCCAACAAACCATACATCACTGGAAAGCTTATTTATTCAGCTGATTAGGATGATGTATAAATCTCAACAAAAAAAAAAAGACCCTTGTGACTGGTTTTGTGGTCCAGGATCACAAATGGATAATAATTCCGTATGGACATTTATATCTTACATACAATATTTATTTTGCTTATAATGTAATTGTCCTAAAATATAAAGACTGGGGAATCTAAGTGTTTGTTTGTTTTGTTTTTTGCTTTTTTTAAACAGCCCAAACTAATAGGGTTCCAAAATAAATAATAATAAATATATTTAATATGAGGCTGCATGAATTTATGAATTCTCGTCACGAATAAAAAACAAATAAACACTGTATTATGTAATGCTAGTATATGTAATGCTTTCTTTATTTACAAGCAATCGAGTTATAATCAAATGTCAAGAAAATAGACATTATGATCACCTAGGTGGTGAAATCCTCGTGTATGACACTTAAATATTATGCAATATAACATAATATAATAGAAAGATAACAGAAAGACAATTTTTTTAAAAAGATTCATTACAAAGTGAAACCGAAAGCATTTAATAAATAAACATAAACCTTACCTTTCATGATCGATAATAGTAGGAAGAACGATAAAATGTTCTTCATGGTGCGTACACTTAAAATTTGACTTTCTAAAGTTGATCAGAGGTTCTCGTTTGTAATAATCTAATCCGTTGTTGTTTCTGGGTGTCACAATCGCGACCGAACCGACTGAGAGAAAGAATAACTCAATAACCGACTACAGATCGTCAGAGAAACTATTTTCCTAATTAATTTTACGGAATTAATTGTTGAATGTTCTTGATTTAGTATGTACTGCTGATTTAAGCGATTAAGGCAAAAAAAAACATATATATTTTTTTGCCTATTGTTGTGGAAAGTAAAAATACACAGATATCTGAAATGGCCGAAGCTTCTTCTTCTTCTTATGATGTTTAATGGCGGTTGGCAAACCAGCTTTTGGTGCATATTCCGCCACCTACTGGGATGGAGTGTGAAGCGATGATCGAATCTTCTCCTTACGTTTATTGGCGGATCGCATCAATTCTCGCGCATTATCGCCACCTACATGTGAACACGATCCAGAGACAGTAAAGTAGATATCTCATTCATTAGATCTTCTCTAATGGCTGGATAATGATACATTGCTCTAATAATCTATTTGTCTGAATTTACATTGCTTAATGCACATCTATTTTGCCAAATTATATTTTTTCTCCTGTCCATTGCTATAGTTGTTATCACTATGTCAATCACTGCAATTTCAAAAGTGAATCCCACATTTATATAAGGGATGAGGGATTTATAAGAGGGGTTTATGTCACTACCGAAACTTTGCTGCATGCATGTGGCCATTAATCCTCTAGCAGCATGAAAAACAAAACTTGTATTCAAATTCTGGATGGATTATATGTATCCTAGAAAATGCGCAAAGAGCACTTTCTTTAATCACTAATAAGCTGTCACTCACTTCCAGTGGCGTTTCGTGGGTTTTAAAATAGAGGAGGCACAATAATTGTATTGGTCTGGGATCCCTGCCGATTATTATTATTGCTTAACCACTTTGAAATGGCTTTTTGCTTGCTTTTAGTCAGAAAACGTAAAGAAAACGACATACATACAGCAAGATAATATAATTTCACTTACCTGGCCTATCACTTGAAGCAAACATCCATCCCTTCTTAAAAGTCTGTGTTAAAAGAGAGCTTCATGTTGCACCATTTAATTAAGCCGACTGCTGTAACCTACAGGTGCATCTCAATAAATTAGAATGTCATGGAAAAGTTCATTTATTTCAGTAATTCAACTCAAATTGTGAAACTCGTGTATTAAATAAATTCAATGCACACAGACTGAAGTAGTTTAAGTCTTTGGTTCTTTTAATTGTGATGATTTTGGCTCACATTTAACAAAAACCCACCAATTCACTCTCTCAACAAATTAGAATACTTCATAAGACCAATAAAAAAACATTTTTAGTGAATTGTTGGCCTTCTGGAAAGTATGTTCATTTACTGTACATGTACTCAATACTTGGTAGGGGCTCCTTTTGCTTTAATTACTGCTTCAATTCGGCGTGGCATGGAGGTGATCAGTTTGTGGCACTGCTGAGGTGGTATGGAAGCCCAGGTTTCTATGACAGTGGCCTTAAAACTCAAATCTGCGGTTTATTTATAAAGATAACGCCTATTTGAACATTTACTATGCTGATTTTGGAGCTCCAGGCGATCACCGGGCGCTCAGTGCTCATGTATCTGCCGAGAGCAGCCTTAGGTCAGCTAGTCCTTCCGACATTTGCTGCTGGCTCTGATGTCTCTGTAGTGATTAAACATGAGATACAATTAGTTTTGGGTAGGCTATATTTAACAGGCATTCGTGGTCTAATGAATCTATTATTTGTTCCTGGTCATATCGTTTTGGCTGAGCACAAGTTATGTTTAACTTTAACTTTATATATTTAATTTGAACTTTACAGTAGTAAAGTACTTTGTTGCATACGTTTGACTGAACTGTTTGCTTTTGTCTTTATTTCCTCTTATATAAGCCTCTTATCCACCTTTTTCCTACGCCCCATGATGCTTTGCGCGAATTATGGGTGGAACTTCCGTTACGACGTAAAAAATCATTCGCTGCAGTCACAGTGTCGCTACTCATTCATAGTAAGATGTGGAATCACACGCTGACAGAACTTATAAAGGACAACATCAACATATCCGTACCTTCCTTAATAGAGGAATGGGAGGACGATTTAAAAAAAGTGGCCGCGCATAACGTACAGTAGCATTTTTAGCTACTTTGTTGATTCGATTGCTTGTGACGGTAAGGCAATGAGCAATTTGAAAAGCTCAGAGGCTTACCAATACCTCCACAGTAATAAAGTAGGTCGTGTGCTATTCAAAGATGTGGGCAATGATTTCGTGTTCTTAAAAGCTGATGTAGAGCCGAGTCAAAGCCTGAATGTGTCACACCATAAAGCTTGGGTTTTAGTGTCAACGTCAGGTGTCATACAGACGGCAGGGTGCTCATGTAGTCACGCAGCTGCAGTAATGTGGAAGGTCAGTAAATACATGTAAAGAGCTGATACATGATGAGGTCTCTCAAATAGCCTGTGTTTAACGACAATGTGCTAATATTTAAATGTATCATTTGATACAATGCACTCTGTAAAATCTAAAATTATCATCAAAATGATAAAACATCTAAAATTACACTGCTAACCATACCCCTTAAACCTACCCATACCATGGAGCCTTACCCAAATCACACCTCAGTGGCATCAAATGTAAATCCGTATCACTGCCAGCACAGCAAAGAAAGTACCCAAACGACCTACTACTGACCCCCAAAAATTCCTCAATGAACACTTCTACCCAGCCTTCAAAGGTAATACTGCTACAAAATATGGCAAAGAAAATGAGGGCAATATCGTCCAACTCATGAAAAGCCGAGGGCACGCTGTGGAGAGGAGAGGCCTGGTGATCCATCCTGAACATCCTTGGTTGGCAGCTAGCCCAGATGGCATTCTCGACTCAACAAAACTTCTCGAGATCAAGTGTCCCTTTAAGAGCTCTATGTCACTTACTGAGTTTTTGAATCGACCAAATGGTGACATCAGAAGCTTAGGTGATGGGCAGTATGTTATTCTTCCAGATGGAAAGGATGGATAATACCTCCAAGTGAGTAAAAAAACAAAACACATACATACATACATACATGTAGATGACAACCTAACTCATAATATGCATATAAGAAAAGCACTATTTAAATTAATATAAAGTATAAATTAAACTGTAAGCACATTTTTGCAATCCAAATTCAATTAAATTGGATCAAATTATTGAACTTTGAAGTGTGACATCTTCCTTCAGGTCCAGTTGACCATGATGTGTGTGGGTCTACTGAGCTGCAAGCTGGTCATCTGGACATCAACTGAGCACCTAGAAATGGACATTCCATTTGACAAAAATTATGCAGAAGCTCATGTGCAACAGCTACAGAAATTTTACTTTTTACACATGCTGCCAGCATTAGTTGATGATTTTGCTGATAAGAAGATAAATCTGTGCAAGAAATACCTGCAGCTTTTAAACAAGTAGAGGGTGAGGAATGTGGTATACAGTATACAAAACATACCAATACAATGTAAATAAGTTTCATCAGTTTATTTTTTAAGCAACATGAGAATGAAATACATGAAAGAATCCTGTAAATATTTTTACTGTCTATATAGTGTACAAAAACAACGTATTAATAACATGTATCTTGTTAATGACATTAAACTATAAGCACATGCAGTTTAAGTGATGATAAATGTTTATCTATGTGCTTGAGATAAGCTCCCCTCTTAGATTTACAAGAGCAGCACAAATTCGCAGTATTTTATCAAACTCTGGGACCAAATTAATAGGCAAAGTCTGTGAGAGAATCTTGTACACCTTTAGCCGCCTTATTGCCCGTTCAACGTGAATGCGGGCATGA